TAAAATCAACTATATTCTCGTACAACCTTCAGGTTAATTTTTCTTTTTGTTTTTAACTCTTTTAACGTTTGAACTCTGATGTAGTCGAAATGAAAACTTCCTCAACACCTCTATCCCACTCGATTTTTGAGCTCAAATATACACGCAAAAAATCTGTTTTGCAAAAAAGTAGTTCTGGAATATCCACTTCCAAAGTTCTTCATAGCCAGTTGCCGCTGAAGGCGTGTTTTGGCACCAACCGTTTTTTCAGCAGGTACAAAAATCTCGTTTATAAATATGGACAGCTGTCTGCTGAAAGAAAATCGTTCGCTTACTGACATTGAGTGTCATGTAGCAGGGGCATAGGAGGCAAAAACGATTAGAAAATATGCTCTTACAGCCTATAGGAATCAACCTACAGATCAACCAATATCCGTTTCGACTTGTAACTTAGTTCTCTTCTTAACTATTTCTTTCTCAGTGCATGCTTATATTGCATTATAGATCTAGATCTAAATATACATGTATATATTCTGGAGATAATATCCTCTTGCATGTCTCGGCAGATAATAATGTAGCGGACATGTCAATACAGTGGGTCAGACTTGCGTGATTGGCAACGCGGGCCTATTTGGTTTTGCGCTGGGAGCCAGCTGACTCCGACAATACCTAACAGCAGAACCGACCGTAAAACTTGTTTACAGATTTAGAAATTTCACAACGGGTCTATCGAATCGATTAATGTTCATCCTTACTGTGACACACGAGTTTCTACTTACCTGTTGATTAGGAAAGAAAAAAAATCCCGCATATTATCTGTAGCCTGTAGATTCATTAGCCTGGTTTAAAACGAACCTTCACAGCCCTATTGTGAAGTCGCCCGCCCACCCTAATTATAAACTATTCAAAGAAGAATGTCCTAAATAAAGAGTTTTCGCCCTATATACATCTGTGCTTATGTATATTACGTAAGGTCGTCGACAACGCGGACATGTGCATTCTCGACCGGCAACAAAAATGCCGCATAAAATGTTGACCATTTCACTCTATTGTCATCGCTTTGTCCTTATACAAATCCAATGGCAGGACAGTTGATAGATAAGCAATCGACTATTGCCTGACCCCAAACTACTGGCTTCAGCCATGAGGCATATACCGCGATCGCCTAATTAAACAGTAATTGTCCTGTTACTTTGCCCTAGGAAAAAGGTCGAGAAAAACAGTTTTTCTTCAGCAATTGCCATATGCAGAAGCAGTTTGTATTTTTCTATCTAAATTAACTGGAGAAATGTATATCATTTGAAGTGCATCCCCTTTCGACAAACTTTAACTAACGTTTGTGTAAAATTTGTTCATACAAAAAGCATCATTATGGGAAACACAAAATAACAGATGTACGACATAGCGCCAGTAGTGAGCAATAGTAATTTGGCGTGATTGCTATAACAGTGGTTCTTTTTTTGTTTAGCTGGTACACTGGTGTGTATTCTTAGAGGCTCACCCCTATTCGAGAGCGCTCCGAGCCTTGCAGCAGCACAAGTATCTCTAGCAATTCACACATATATATAGCTATATATGTGAATCATATCAGCTTGCCAGTAATAGTATGTATATGGCCACATGTCCCTATGGAAGCTGAGCAGTAACGTGTTCACCCACTTCATTTAGATACGCGTAAAAGTCCGGAAGTGAGTCTACTTTGCTTCACGCTGAAGGCCAACCGTCTGAGTATCGGACATAAAACTCCAAGCGTTTATATACTGTCATATTACCGTAACGGTGAATGCTAGCGGGACCTATTTATCGATAACCTATTAACGAGGCAACCGCTTTTTTAGGACGCAACTGTCAATAACGTACCGTTAAGTTTGGCTTAAAAAACGAGATACCACACACCAACAGGTGCAGTCGTGATGTTTGTAAAACAACGAAAATCTTTTTCGTTATCATATAGACGGCAAATAGTACCAAATGCAAGTGAATTACTTAATCTGACCACCTTAATGTGTATCTGACCACCGCAAGAAAGTACTGTTCGACACTATCCCAATATTAAAACTTCAACGAAATTATTGTATTTGCGGATACTTATCATTCGTCTCCTCTTCAATGTTCTTCATTTTGAGAAGAACTCAGTGATACGATTCATCGTTAATACAGATCCGGATAGCTAAATGAGAAGAACATAGCTAAGTAGGCCAAATTAAGATCTATTACACAAAAAATGTAGAATCCTTCTTTTCATGAATCGGGTCTATCGTTTTCCTTATTGTGCGTCCAACATATTGCTGAATGTGAAGGTTATTGAAGCCTACCAGGCCCCGTGGGGGAGGTGTTGTGTTTGCACGTGGACTATGAAAACTGAAACCCGTAACTAGGCAAAAAAGGCGATCATTAGGTCCAGATTAGGTAGTATATTTTTTTTTAACTGAAATTTCGCGTCAGGTTTCTCCTTTTTCACTACTCTTCAAGATTTGCTTTCCATCAATTAGAGTAGTACAATTCATTAATTAAGAATGCTTAATAACTCGTGTTCGACGGTAGCTTCAGCAGGCGGATCTTTATTTTATTAAAATTTTGCATTTCCGCGGCAGAGGTGCAGGTTTATTAAGCTATAGATTATAGATACTGTCACAAACGTCATTATTAATTTACGTATCCCTATCAATACGTTTGATTATATCAGTATAATATCTATAGTTAGTACTGGAAAATAGTGATGATTATGTACGATAACTTTTTTTTTTTTTAAATGTTTAAGCAAATTCCTGTACGACGAGACAAACGTCGTCTGCCTGTAACTGCTTGTCCAGCCGACGGGTATATCGAAAATATACTTCATCTCATTGCACCCTACTAGTTACCTTTTTCACAGCTGCTCGCTAATGGTTTCCAAGACTCCTGGCTCAAAACTAACACGACCTACTGAAGCTCAGAGATAATAAGTAATAAAATGATGCATATAATACTTCAATTTGCTCTACCGTGCGGTTTGTTGACTTCGTGAACTGCGTTTCGACTATTTTCGTTACATAATAATTACCTGTGGGGTTTTTTGAGTATTTTCCAAAACGATTTGGAATTTAGCTCTCAACGGGTGGGGTATGAGTTGTCGATATCAATGCTTGTCGTCTGCTATGTATTTAATAAATTATTGTTTTCCAATTCCCTTTATATCCCTTCACGAATGCTTTCATTTGTATCTCTGCTTGTAACTTTATCTTGCGTCATCAAAAGCAATGTAGCGTCACATCTATTAGCTTAACACAAGTTTTTTTGCAATGTTGAAAAATGCCTTGTATAATATGTCCAATGTTATCCCTACGAAATTTTAAAGCAGAGTGATTTGGCCGCCAATTATTCCTGTACAAGGAATAATATTATTACTGCGGTTGGCAATAAAGTCGCACATCAAGTTACATTATCTCGTTATACCAGGCACAGAATAAAGGTCGATTTTATCGCTTCTTCCTCGGAACGATATTACCATCTGATTTTTATCTGACAGATTACCTCGCATGATCATTTTTAGTCGGCGGTCCGTTCCTCGAACCATTGTCTCGATTGGAAACTGTTTATTGTACAATCAGGCGAATTGTTTATTATTCAATTTGGAACAAAACAATTCTCTCGGGAAGACTGTAAAACGTTTTCTTGATGTAACACCATGATGGCCAGACTAAGAAGGAGGCCAGAAAGTTTCAATGGCACAAATGTGAAAACATTGTTAAAATGTTTACAGGATAGTAAATTCATACAAGATGGTTCAATGTTCATGACGCAGAGGCTTACTACAGTTACTAAAAAGATTGCGTTGTACAGTATACTTGATATAAATTGGTGTACATTTTGTCGTAGCAAGCGTACATTCACCCGCCAGACGCGGTATTAGAAGAAAAAAAAAGCTATTTCCTTCTAGAACAGAACCATAAATTCACTAGGGTGGAGATAGAAGACTCGCTTTCAAAGCTATTTTTCCCTGTTTTGTGCAGGATGAATCCTCATCAAGATTATGAACTTACGGATTCGATGGTCAGAGCCGTTGTCTGGTGTTATAAGGCCCTTGAAAGAAAGATTTCAACACGTTATGACAGAAGATCTACGGGAGCAACTAGGCAAAGAGCGTCGAAAATTCGTCCAAAGAGGCCCAAAAGTTAGTCTTTTTTCAACTTGTTGCGTCTTCTCGATACCCTGTCAAGCAAATGTCAGTTAAATCCTGATTTATCGTGACATTCTGTTTATTCTAACAGTTATCTAGTACATGATAAAATAATGACAAGCATTGAGTGACTTATAATCCTGTCATGTATCAGCTAAGTGCCTATTGCGTTGCAAGCATCTTCTAATGTTTTGCATCGAAGTTACTCAAGCGATAATTTTTAACACTAGCCATCTCCATGTTTCCACTCTGAAACGTCGCACAACAACTTCTCATTAAAGAACTTCGCTTTCATTTTACATAGCAGTTCAGATCCAGTTTACCAACCAGTACCAAATAAGTCTTTCAAGTGTAAATTTGCTGTACTGCGACTTTTAGGTCCTGTCAAATATGTAATGCGTGGACTGTTATCGTTTCAGACAAAACGCTAATGGAACTAACTTTATAAATTGAATGTAGACCTGAAGCAGTATCAAGATTATATTGTTCCCGATTAATATTCACGCATATGTATATTTGCGTTCTAATGAACGTATGTTTGCCTACTTCGCTGAGCCTTTCGCAATACCCAGCAGAAAATTTTATCCTCGAAATTTCCAAACTGTTTCCTTCATCTCAAGTTCAGACAAAACAACGTTGTCTTGATCTGTCTTGTCTGTTACAATAGTAAACAGTGACTTGGAGCAGTGCAACAATCGGGAATTAACGACGCGCGCGAAACTTCAAATGCGGGCGAGGACTGGTGAGAGAGGGCTGGCCAGGGCGAAAGTCAGGGGCGGAGCCATGGACCGGGAGGAGACGCGTGACAACGTGCTCGGAGCCGCGCGCCGCGTGTTCGCCAAGTTTTCCGCCGGCAGTCGCGTGTGGACGTCACAGCGGACGGATCGTACTTGTCGTCATTGCAATCACAGCCGCCAACGTCAGTTTCGGTAATGTCGGGTCAGAGCTGCATAACAATACACAGTTAAGCGGGACTCCGGTATCGCTTGTAGAAGTAGCAATCAATGTAACCGCAGGAAAGTTTCGACGACAAGAACAAGTAGAATGAGCTATTATTACATCCGGCAGTGTTATCCTTAGCAGCGCATAGCTCACAGGTGTTAAGTCTTAAATGGATATTTACTCCTTCCTCAATGATGATGACTGGAAATAAGCATTAGTGTGATAATGTGTATGGATCATATGGGATGAGGCAGGATTATAACAGGCTCTTCGTCGTTTATCATAGTGTGCACGTGTGCAGGGACATGAGAGTCTCCAAACATCGAAAGAGTCGAAGCATCAAGCAGAACTATACCCAAGTGAATGTGACAAGTTGTTGACAAGAACAGATTAACGTTGCGGATGTTGTTGTTAATCAAAGTGCAATTGAGTTAGGTGTTATTATTCAGTGTTGACAGAGACAATCTAAATAACACAGGTGGATTGGATTATTACATCGCAAGGATTACATATCTCTTTCTCATAAAGTTTCCATTCCTTTGCAAGGATAACTAAGTGCTATCGTTGTACAATCGGTAGCAGCGCTATGGCTGCTCCAGGACTTGGTGCTCTGAGTGCAGGTGGCGGCGTAGGTGTCGCCGCCTGGATCAGAGACCCACCAGGGGCAACGTCAGCTGATGCTCGAATTAAGCCCGAGCGTTCGACAAATCGTCGGAACGTGCAAAAGCTCACTTGGCGTAGTTCGCACTGGGCGGCAGGATTTGCGGCTAGTAATAACAACAACAACAACAACAGCAGCACCAGCAGCAGTAGCAGCAGCAGCAGCAACAACAACAACAACAACAACAGCAACAACAACAACAACAACAGCGCAGGCTCGCCCACTTTAGCTTCGGGTCCCAATGCTTCGACAACAGACGACACGAGCGGAAGGGTTCAGTCTATGACCATCTCAGATGTTTCGCCTGGTCTAGCAATTCGTCGTATTTTGCGGTTGTTTGAAGCGTCGCAAATGAAAGAAGCTGCCAACCTGATCAATCGATTAAATGCGGTAACATTCCGCACAATGTTGCCCGATCTCCCGATCGAAATATTTGTCGAAACTATGCCCCACACCCTGCCAGTCCTGGAAGCGATCTACGCGAGAGCTTTTCTCGCTGCCGGTGAGCCCGGAATTGAACCGTCGCTGAAGGCACTGCGGCCTGAGGCCGTCGTTTTCCAGATGGTAAAGCTGTTCGCGGCAGGCCACCAAGACAAAAGGGCGGCTCTGGCCCCGTCGCAGGACCAGCCTTCGCCAGGTGGAAGCAAAGACATCTCTGACCCAAAGGACCAAGAGACGATCCGCCCGACGACAACGACGCAACAACCGACGCCAGCTGAAATCATCGCCTGCAAGAAACTATTAAAGGTGCGTTATACTACAATAACAATATTAACTAGTGTTGCTTGATCAAGGCAAAGGTGTCGGCATGATAACTAGCGTTTTTCAGGCAATTACTAGTCGCATCTTGGTAATGTGTGCATGTCGTGCATACAAAAACCACGATTGATCTAAGCCCTTATAAAACTATTGAAATATGCTTTAAGAGAGCATTGCTAAGCTTACGAGGCACTTGCTTCTAGTAGAAAAATCAGACGAGGTGCAGCTCTGGTCAGCAGGTAGCGATCTGAAGAACAATTTGTTTCTGTTAAAACACCGAATGTATCTCTGTTTGGCAAAGATGGCGGCCAAAGCCATTTTCGTAGCGCGATTTTCATTTTTTTTATGTAGTGCGAAAACGCTACCCGTAGTCTCACAAACAAATTTGTTACGTGAGATTTCAGGGCCGTCCCTAAATTCATATCTCGTTTTGATGCACATATATTCACCACCAGAAGCAGACGCCATATCACTGCTGAGGTCCCTTCGGTCTTTGGAAGGAAACCACTAGAAATGCACGCAGCTTGACCGCAACGCGTTTCATACAAAAATATATGTACATACATTCATATTTCTACAAGGCGTGTAAGTACAGACATGAACACGTTTACATCCATGCGTGTGCATTTATTTATACCCATACAAAGCGCATGTACACAGTTTTCACATTAGATGACAGGGCTGCAGCTACGGTTGATATTGGGTGAATCGCAGGGCCCAATTCAACATCCGACACTGAAATCCGCCCAGCAAGCCAGGCGGTTCTGGGGTGGCATGTGGCTATATGGCAGCACTCGATGGGGATGGCTTAGTAGCAATCTGTTATTAGCTGAAGCAGGGACAGTAGTTAAAGGAGAAGGAAAAGGACGAGACAACGACGATGAAAAGCCAAAGCCTAGAGAAAGAGAGAAAGGGGTAGACTTGAGTGTTAGATGGAAACCGCTTCCTTCCCCTGTTTCAATGTGTTTGCTGTGCCAACACAGTGCGTGGGCTTAGTTGAACCGTTGGCTGGTTGACATCGAACTAGAGGACAACGGAGTAACGCGCAAAGGATGAGGAGCGAGGATGTGGGGTGCAGGAGGTTAGAATAGGCTGTTGGATAGAACCGGTCTGCTGTTGGTGCTACTGGCCAGTGAGCAACCCCGCAAAAGAGCTCGTCAGATGGGCAAACAGCTTGAGGCGGTAGGCCAGTTGACGACAGTTTGGCGCAGTCCCGTCTCAAGCCAGTGTCGATGTAGCACTCATTTATCTCGGAGGTCGTCGCTACAAGCTCATGCTGCTGACGCGGCCTGGACACGAGACAGAAAGGAGTTTTCCACGATACAGAGCGAAGGGTTTCTGGGTGACACATTTCGCTTTGTGGTCTAGTGGCATAACAAAAGGGCCATGCTTGCTACCTCTTCTTCCTTAGTAAGGCTCGATAGTGTGTTGCTTTCGGAGAGTATTGCTAGAAAAATCCACTAGGAAACATATAAACTTATGTACAACATAATTTATTAACACAACAAAATTTACACTGCTTTCGTCTAGTTACTTTTCCAGGGTACAGAATCAATCAGTCAACCTCAAAACTAAAGATACTAAATCCAGGAAAAACATTTTATGAAAAAGAAAAACAAAAAACATCAGTATTTGAGTGATGCGGGAACCCCATCAAAACCTGTTCCACGCTATTGAAACAAATGTTTCTCCAAATTTGAAATTTGCTTTGAGGCATAGACACAGCTTCCAATCGATCTCTCGAAAGAACTTCCCAAGTTAGGGTAAGATTGTACATCTATCTACTATGCGTTTATATTTATTTACGTTAAAGTAATGATCATGGTATGCGACCATAAGTTAGGATCACTAATAGTGAAGGTTATGCGAAACCTGCGAGGTGGACGTAATGCCTCGTACTTTATTGTACCACAGTCTAAAGCAAGTAGTTATTTTAGTGAAAACGTTCATTTTTGCGTCGCTCTAGCACATCGTTTTAGGATCATCTCGTGACACAAGCCGCACTCACACAGGTCCAACTCGGCCTCATGCAATCAGACTCACGTAGATGATTTTCGGCTGAAAAATTTGGGATCCAAACACACACTTGGTGCGAAACATATTCTATTTTGTAGGTCATTTAATCTAACTAGTAAGCTATTTTTCAACCCACCTCCGTACCGACTTCCGGCGATGAGCGTTCACCTCGCAATTGAAGTGAAAAAAGTGCATGCTTGGTAATAGAAGTCGAAACATATTACGGGTCGCTGTACAAACAGAATGGTTACGTATCAACAAGACGCAGCTATGATCAAGCTTTTTCCCTGTTTTTCTTTTACCCTGTTTCGTATATCGATAAATACAGATAAACTAAGCATTGTAATAGAAACGTAGTCACACATTTAGAGGATGTTGTAAGGCTGACAAGCATTTTTACGTAACGGGATGGTTTAACAGACCACACGTTATGTAATGATCCAATAAATTTTATCAATGAGTTATTTACAATGAGTTAACAGACGACAGGGTAAGGCACGACTAAATGTCCTCGTAGTTCCTGGCTTGGGTTGGATTGTACTGATAATTAAGAATGCCTTATGAAAGAGGTGCGCGTATTCAAGATTACTCTATAGAAACATTCATTAGATAGCTTTAAATATGTTTATATTCATTTTAGTAACGAAAATCGTCCTCTGTCTAAAGTGCGACATGGTCAAAAAAAAAGCTCCAAATGATCAAATTCGGAAGCGGAAACATGAACAAGATGTTTCTTTTTGATGACTTCCTCCTGTGTCGACCGGGGCTAGCTTTATTAACAGATACTAAGGATAAACAGTTTTATTGATGCCGAATAGTAAATGTTTATACTATTATCTAAAGCATACTTGAAACCCATTTAGTTACAATTCCATATATATCCCCCAAATGTGAATCGGCTTCATAATGATATATTGGCTTGCTGATTCTATATCGATTTAGATATAACCGTCCATCAATACTACGAACTTGTGGTTATATCAAACGATCTTGATGTTGTGGCGGCTGCTAGGGAGCGGCAAAGATCGCGTTCCTCGTAGGGATCCATCCCTAAATGGGTATGGGTCTTTGATGGACAGTCAGACTGAGCGGTGGCGCGAACTATATTTATTAAAGAAAGTGCATTATTAGTAGAGAAGTCATCCTGCCGGCTATTGTTAAATATGCCTGCTTGCCTGTCTTCTGATAAAGTGGGGTCCATTAACGGGTAATCCACGTAGATGACCCGAACCAATGCAATGGCTACGGGCTGCAAAGCTGCACGTCGACTGAGACAAGTTTGCTATATCTGATTTAGGACATTTATCTACTTACAATTTCATAGCTTTCTCATACTTATACCGAGTTACGCATATGCTGGGGTAGAAGCGCGTAAGTTTGTTGTTTCGAAGCTCGTAAAGATAGAGGTTCCTAGAAAATCAATGCGCTTGATGCGGACAGCTACTAGCAAGACCCAATATGAACTTGTATGGTTGATACAGTCCGTAATGTATATGCCATATGTGTAAGTTAATATTTACTAGCATGCTATTTCGGTATAGCTAACGCTCATACAAGGACGTATGATCATCTGTACGTGTAGATAATGTCGGGATTCCGTGCGCTCTACCAAGTGCCACTTACAGAGATCGCGATAATAAATAGACCTAAAAAATTGCAAAGGACAAATAGTTCTTTGAATGATACTTCCCATTGTCTTTGAGGAGACTATGGCTTTTAGAGAAAAGGAGAATACTGTCCTTGGTTTCGTATCAGCCTTTGATTATTTTTCAGACACACTGTTTATGGAACGCCAATGCAGTAAACATACTTACTTAGGCATCGATCCGTAGGTTCAATTGCAGCAGGTAGACAGGAGTTTGTCTTTTGCTACAGTTATTTCACTACAAGTCGAAGACTTCAAATGTATGAGTTATACTGTGGCTCTAAGAATAACTGGGGCATTTATTCTTCGTTTCAATATTCATCCCGCCGGCCGCTTCTCTCAAATGGGTATTTCAATAAATAGCTGGTGGACTTAACTAACTGTAGTCGCCAATGTTAGAATCGGGCATTTCTACATGCAGCAATGGCTGCTGTATATAAGTACTGCTTCTACACTTTTGGTTTTTGCAAAGGGCAATTGAGCTGTTCATGAATTTATTACGTCGATAAAATCGAGTAAAATTCATTGAAAAAAAAAAACGAATATATCTACTTATAGAAAGGTCATGTAGATTTTCGTATGCAGATCTTAAAGACCAACAGGGTTCCACAGAGGAAACTGACCATACGCATAGTAAACAATTGCCACTATGCTACTTCTAGCGGCTGGAAGTTTTCTACGGGCAGGGCGGCTTCTACCGAGAACACAGGTTTATAGATTAAACTGCCCTGTAATTCAGCGGATATGTCTAACATGGTGGAAGATGACTGAATGAGTGAATGTTACAAGCAAACCCATCGAAATACCTCTAACGAGTCATTTTTATGCAACGAATGTCCACTGCACTGGCCCAGGAATCATGGCTCATCTGCTGTGTACGGGTGACACAATGTAGATAACTAGTCATGGTTGGAGAATACTCGGTCCTCTGTTACGTAAATATTTTGTCTTCTTATTAGATGCTGTTGCCTGAAATAAGTATCGGTTTTTGCCATACCCTGTCGTATAGCTAAAGATCATAGCTAACCGAGGAACTGGCCGACGCCAAATGATAGAGCCATATGCCCATATAGGGCAATAATAGAAAGGCAGGTTTCACAGGTTGCTGCATTCGTTCGTAATGATTTGCTGTTTACAGATAACGTTCAATCGATAGAGGGTTTGCAAAACTATAAACCATCAAACGTACAAAATAAGAAACATTGATCGAAACTGGGAAATCTTAAAGAAAGATTAGCGATGAGTCTTGTAATTGGCGCGTCCTTTTTTAACATGAACGAAAAGTATGTGACTGAATGTGGCAATACTTTGCATCGTGGCAAGTAAA